TTATTGTATTTCTCGCTGCATCAACAGTGATGCCCATGATGAACATTTATACGGATATGTTTCAGGATGATATTTTTCTTGCTGGTGATACCAGCTATGTTCCTCTGCCAACTGCTGTTTTATGTGTAGCTTCTTGGCATGTTAAACTTCCAGGATGTGTGCAATCCTCCTGCTTCAGTCTCCCAGAGTGCTGGGGTTACAGGGATGTTTGCACCACTCCCAGCTGAGACTTTGATTTTGTTCCACAAAGAAAACAGTTACTGTACTCTTAGCTAGAACTTTTTGGAGCATGCAGTGGTTGGACTTATTTAGTACAATATGTGAGATGTTAAAAAAGGGAAAAACACTTGAGAATTTGTGGACACTGTGAGTGTTGCTCAGTAATGACCAGGAGCCGGAGAAAGAGACATTGTGATTCCTTGCACCAGACACGATGTCCAGCTTCGGTCATGTCATGACGTCTCTCTTCTGCTTCTTTGGCTGTTGAGTTTTCTGCCCTTTCAGTATCTGCTTACCCAGAGAATGAGAAGGCTTTCACCCAGGAAAAGGGCAGAAAGAAGTCCCATGGCCATAGCAGACTTCAGAGCTGCAGGGAAGGCAGCTGAGGGGGGCATCCTGCCTCACTGCAGGAAGGAGACACCCAGGAAGGGGATCTCTGAGCCAGAACAACGTGAGGTGGTCCCGTGCCCCTGCTGGGACAAGGAGGCTGTCTGTACAGAGTACACCAGTGTCCGGGTCAGCGTGTGCACCGCGGGAGAGGCATTCACACACATTCATTTCCCTCTCCCACCTCTTAGGAGTGTGAAAGGAGGGTTGAGGGAGGATTTAGACAGTGCATTGTTTGGGTTTTGTTGTTGATTGAGTTTTTTTTTTTTTAATTCCTTTTTTTTTTTTTTTTTTTTTTTTTTTTTTTTGAGACAGGGTTTCTATGCAATTTGGGCAGGACTTGAGCTCACTTTGTAGCCCAGGCTAGTCTTGAACTCACAACAATCCTCCTGCCTCAGCCTCCCAAGTGCTGGGATTACAGGCATAACCCACCAAGCCTGGCCTTGATTGAGTTTTTTGTTGATGTTTTTGGTTTTGTTTTTAGGTACTGGGGATTAAACCCAGGCCCTTCACACTGAGCTACATCTCCAGCCTTTTTAAAAAGAAAGAAAAGAATTTTTTTGAAACAGGTGGCCACTAAAGCATTGAGTTTTCCAAGCTAAAGTAGAATGCACAATCCTCTTGTCTCAGCCTCCCAGAGTGCTGGGATTACAGACAAGCATAATCATATTTGCCTTAGGCAGAAAGCTTTCAGTACAGCTGCAAATATGTACTGAACTTATTTTTATTAAAAATTGTATCTGTTCTGAATAAAAATTCTCAAAAATGCTCATTCTGAACAGGTGTGGTGACACACGCTTATAATCCCAGCACTCAGGAGGCTGAGGCAGGAGAATTTCTGTGAGTTTGAAGCCAGCCTGCACTGCACAGTAAAACCTTATCTAAAAGACAAAAAAATAACTAAATCTCATTCTCTGAACAGGCAGCAGCATGAAGATTCTGAGCCCATTTAATCACGCATTTTTTCTTTCAAATAACACTTACCCAGTTATGCAAGTTGCACTGTGTGCGGAGGGAGCAAAAAGATACATTTCAGCCCTACTCTTAGGAATCTCACAGTCTGATACTGTGGAGCAGGCAACACATACACGAAAGAAAATGCTAAATGGGGAAAATCGATCCATGAACAACAGAAAGAATCAAAGTTCTTTATAATCAAAATTTTTTATTGTGGTAAAACAAACATCACATGAAAGTAAAGATTTTGGATGCTCCTAAGCGGCAGTGAGGTGTGTGTGTTGTGGTACAGCCCTCACCACTGTGCAGATTCAGAGTTTCCCGTCTTCCCAGGTGGAAACTCCGTCCCCACCAAACAATTACTCCTTTCTCTCCTCTTCTCAGCTCATGGCGCCCACCATTCTGCTTTCTCTCTTCTCGAATTTGGTTACTCTAAGAAGCTTCTATCAGCGGCGCCATCTACAGAGGTGGTCACCGATTATTGGGACAAATGCTGTTAAGCCGCTGCCCTCAGAGCCCCCGTAGGATATTTCTTTGCAGAGGATTTGGTTAAAAAAAAGTAGAGCTGATGTTAGGACAGAACCCTGTGCCTGCCACATCAGTGCATCATTTTCCTCCCCTAGAACAGGACTCGGCCTCTCCGGGGAGTTCCTTATTTGTGTCCAGCCCTGGCCCACTTCTGCTTTTTGACCACCATCCAGTCATGCTGTGTGAAAAGAAGCTGTGAGGTGGGAGGTGGCCTTGTTCTCACTGCCTCCAGGGCCACACACAGGCGCATCCCTCACAAGCACAAGCTTCTCCCTAGAAAAGGGGAGCAGGGGTGAATGAACAGCTCAAAGGCCAGCACTTCTCAGTATGGCCTGCGTGTCGCTGGGGAACACTTGAGTTCTCATTTCTGCATCTTTCCTCTGATTCCATACAGTAATCAGTATGTATCCTTTTTAGCTCACAGAGGATGTGTCTGAACAAATTAGCCAAAAACTATACCAATTATTGAAAAATGTCGTGCTCTTCAGAGACAGGCCTTCCAGGTCTCTCTGGCTCTATAAGAGAGTCTCGCACTAGACAGAAGATATTCTGAGTGTTCTGGAGTGCAGGGAAGCCTGCTGGGTCCAGTGAAGTGACGCAGTCTAAATGTAGATCTTGTCTCGGGCCGTTACGGTGCAGCACCAGCCAGCAGCAAAACCTGCATCTCCACATGCTTTGTTCTCCAGGGTAATGCAAACAGAACACAGCCATTGGAATGATTGATTTTTTTGTCAGATCCAGTTCTACCAACACCATGACAGGGTCAAACCCAGAAAATGTTGAGAGCTCCGTAGAGGGCAGAACACCCTCTAAGTGAGGTGTTTTTACAACCCCAATCCTGTCCACATTTCTCCAGCCCATTTAGGCAAGATAGTCACCCCCTTGGAACTTCGGGAGCTCATCACCTCCCTCCATGGTCAGTGTGATCAAACAAGAGCCAGGGGCATGAGGCAGCATGGGACGCGGGCCTGGCTCAGTTCAGCCACTGTGGCAGACAAGAGGATCACCAGTGATGCTGACAGCTCCCAGAAGTGGCTTGGAGGAAGCGCAGTAGGATCCTGTTTGCTTATGTAAATGTGGGCCCTGGAGGAGCAGGAAATGAAAGTGAGGTCTGGATTCTTAGGGCTCTCCTGGGGACAAAGACACCTGATGATGTGGCTGACAAGCTGCTAGCCATGAGAGCCTGCCTGGGGACCATCCCCACGCTCAGTTCATTCCCTGTGCAGAGAAGGGTGTCTGGGAGGTGGTGGCTGATGACTGGTGCCATCTGCATAGAGGCCTGTTGTTTCTTCCCATAACCTTGGTCAGGACCCCCTGGTAGGGCTGGTGGTCAAGTAGGGCCATAAGCAAGCAGAGCAAGGACATTTCAGGGTGGCACTATGGCCACAGGCATGGAAATCTAGTGTGACCCTAGTATCTTGGTACTATTTATTCACATTTGAAACCTAAGGTGTTCTGGCACAACCTTGTGGCTGTTGCTGTGTGTAAGGCAGCTGGCAGCAGTAACAAATAGCCCTTATAAACCGGGCATGGTGATACATGTCTAAAATCTCAGTGATCTAGGAGGCTGAGGCAAAAGGATCACAAGTTCAAGCCTAGGCTAGATAATTCAGTGACTTAGTGAGAATTTGACTCAAAATAATAAAGGACAAGGATTGCAGCTCAGCATGAAAGCCTTGGGTTCAATCCCCAGTACTGCAAAAATAGCCCTTATATTTCACAGACGTGTCACAATGTTTATGCCTCATTTTGGTTGGTTTCAGGTGGTGACTCAGGGACCCAGGTTCCTTCTAGAGTGGCTTTGCTATCCCCAAAGGCCCTGGAGACTTCTACCTAGAGGTAGAAGGGGAGAGAGTGAATCTTACCACATGAACCTAGAGTAATACACATCACTTCCAATCACACTCCACTGACCGGGGGACTGAGAAATGGAACCCCAGTAACAATTATATTATAGAAAAGTCCATGTGAGCCTTGCTGTACAGTTAGCTCCCTACCATGACAACAGGAGAACTTCCAACGCCTAGGTTTCCTCTTCTGTAAAGCAAAGAACATGAGCCTAACGCTGAGGGTTCCCATGGGCTTCAGGCGACTCATCCAGTCCTGATTTGGGGCCAATCTACTGGTGGCATGATGACAGCCAGCCTGAGAAGGGCCCCTCCCTGGGAAAGGAGCTGGGGGGGGAGCTGGACACGTCCCCATCCAGCTGCCTAAGTGCTCCGGGTTCACACTTATGCTTCTGCCTAAATGGGCTTCTTAATGACCACTATGCAATATGCATTCTGTACTGTGATTATTATGTAAATGCAAGTATATTTCATGATGATTACTATACAACACGCATTATCTATTGTGATTATTATGTAAATGCAAATGAACATCCTACTCTAACATATGTCTGGTGGGCTACATCTTACTGATGCATTGACACAAGCTTTTAAATATTGCTCCATTGTTTGCTATGGTTCAAAAAGGCTTTTGTTATAAAAGAAATAAAGGTCATTTCAAAAATTGCCAGCACACAGACAGTTAGCTGTAGAATGTAACTTAAAAGCCACTTCCCTGCCATCCAGCTCTGCTTGGATAAATAACCACTGCAAAGAGTTTTGGTGCCTTGTTCCAGAAATACTCTATGCTTATACACAAGTGTATATAAATACTTTTGTTTTGCACAAAAGCAAATCACACTAAAATGTTACTCTGCAAATCTTTTTTTTTTTTATCCCAATCTCTGTGTCTGGTCTGGCTTGCTGTTTTCAACAGCTATGCAACATTCCACAAGGGAAGCAGGCTGTAGTTTTTTTTAACCAGAATCCAGAGCTTTGGTGAAAAGCCAAAAGGCACTGGATTCTTCTTTTCCTGTGAGCTGATGCCACACTCTTCACATCCACCTTCCTACAAAATTGCAGTTGCTCCAAAACCACAGACCCAGACGGTTGCATCTGAAGTCTGCATGCCTCGAACTGGGCCACTTCTCATGGTCCCAGGAAAAAGATAAGCTTAATTTGAAAACTCCTGCTGATTCCATCAGAGTGAGGTCATGAGCGGATCAAGAAGCTACCGTAACCCCTCCCTTGTGCTGATGGCCTCACCTTCACCTACAATAGCAGTGAAGGCTCCTAGACTTCTGAGCCTCCAGAGATACTTGGTTCACCTTCAAGGACATGGGCCCAGAGCCTGCAGATCATAAAAGGAATCCTTTTCACAGCTCAGTCCATTTGGGTTAAGACTTCCTAATGGGGTGCAAAACCCAAGCGGCTCTTGCAATTTTACCAAAGTCCTGGACAAGCAGTAAGGCTATGGGTTTGGAAATGAATTTGTGTATCACATCACTGGCCTGAGCCATGGGAACTCATCTGGTTTCAGCCCTGGAGTAGTATTTTCCAAGTTTTAACTATAGGTGAGCCAGCTTCTGAATTTCTGTTTTACACTTCTGCCTAGGTACTCCCTGTACACACATTTAGATCCTTAAGCAGTTGCATTTAAAACTTACAATCTTGGGTCTCTCCTAACCCTCAGCAACATCTTGAAGTCATAGATGGGGAATGTTAGTTGCACTTATCCTGATACCCATTTGCCAATAAAATCCTCAACAAAAGTAGTCATTTACCTATGTGTTTTCTACAACCACGGTTTGCATCACACTTGGAGAATTGCTGCCCTAAAGCCATCCAACATTTCTTCAGGGATCTGTGCCCCTTTGCACAATTTAAGAGGAGTCTCTTTAGTGATGTTTGGAACATGGAAGATGTGTGGAATGAGCCAGCCAAGTCTTTTCTTCTCCCTCTCCAGCACAGGATGATATTTTTGGCGACAACGATCCTCATGGAATGTTTTTCTCTTTTTCTGGAAAGAAAATAAATGCCCCTATTCCCAATTACCACTGAGGATAAGTAGTAAAGAGTGAGGAAATGTCCAGGGACGCCTACTCCAGCAGATGTAAGGATCTTTTTATTGCCTGACATGCTCCAGGCCAGGCTCACATTAGTCCTATTTTTAGACTTTTGGGTTGACTTGATGAATTTGGCCTCCTTTTCAGCAGATCATATTAATGAACCGCAGATGGGCCCATAATTGATTCCTTTCTATCGCAATTACTTCACAAGCAGGCAAAAGTATTCAGTGTCTCCTTGGTGGGTAGTTACCTAGTTTCGAAAACTCCAGGCTCTGTCTGGGAACAGGTTTTCCTCCTGGCTTGGACATCAGAAGACGGATGATCCAAGATGGATTCACCAAAGTACTTGGAAGCACACACAGCATCCTTGGCAGTTGCTCTGGGTGCTTGGAGATCTTGGCAGCTCTGTGTTGTTGCCTGGAGATGCTGACAGTTATCATTTTGGTGGATGGAGGCAAGAGCTGTACCACTGGAAGACATTCAGAAACATTTCCATTGTGTAACATCAGACCCACAAACCCATCACTCTGGCAATGTACCCAAATGCATCCATCCTCTCCTCTATTGGCCTCCCTTGAAGTACTGCCAGAAATCTAGGGTACCCTATGCTCTTCAGCGTCAGCACCGTTTCTCTTAAGAAGCTTGGGCTTCCTCCTCTGGTGACATGTGTAATCTGGGCCAGTTTATTCAACATGGCCATGGCTATCAGGGTGGTGGAGGACAGGTCTTGTATTCTAACTGAAAACCGTGGGAACATAAATTCATAAGCCCAGTGCTAAAAGGCATCGTCTAACTCGAACTTTGAGAGCCAGTGGTGGGTGACAAAGAGTTGCTGCTCTGTTCCTTTTGCAGAGGAAGTGACCAGGCAGGCTGGTCATTACCTACTTGGCAGACACAGAGAAGCAAGGAGGGTGACAGAAAGAAAAAGACACACTTTGTCCACGTTTAGACTCTGCGCAAACATCTGTCTGTTTTCTAGGGAGTTGATGGACACTGGCAAGTCCAGTAGACTGAGGAAATCTAAATTCTGCCAACCATACACATGAGATTTACCCACATTTCTTTCAACTAGGGGCACTGTCTAAGAAGCCAGCTTTTACTCACAAGGAGGATCATTTCCACGCTGGATATCTATGTTCACCTTCTTTCTACATAAGACATTTAGTACAAAGAACAATTTACCTGCTTATCTATACAAAAGTATAATAAGGGTAACTTTATTTTCAGTTCAGGTCAGACAAGTTTTACGACGATTATCTGCCCTGTGAGTTATCTGAGCTCTGTTCTTTGCTGAAGATCACAGAGAGTGACTTTTATTATTTCCATGCAATCAGCTGAACAGCAGCACAGAACACACGTAGCTTCCACATTTCAGGATGGAAACACAAGTCGCCCTGATCTGCTCAGGGACTTCCTTCAGAGGGGCCCACTGCCCTGCAGTGCACAATCCACTCAGTCTCTCACAGGGTCTGCTGACTGACTGCCGGACAAAGTACATCAGTCAGGGTTCCCGATGGCTTGGAGATGAGAAAAGAAATGGGTTGTATAGCCCCAGGGTCATCTGATATTGGGGTTCACAGGCTGGGGTGAGCAGAATAACTGCCATCTCCCCACTTCCTTATTGTGGCTTCCAAGCTTGCTTCTGTTGGTCTTAAGATGATGCAGTTTTTGCCTTCAGGACGTGCAGGGCCACACTCAGAAGTGAACAGCTACTTCCATTGTTCCCGAGTCTACTACACGTGGGCCCAGTAGTGACTGTGGACAGACGGCCATGAGGGAGACACGTTGCTCAACTCAACCTACTCCAGGGAATAGCATCGCTAAAGTTCCTGGCAAAGGACTCTAGGCAAGCCCTGGGACAACTGGCCCTGATTCCATCACCTCTAAGTGATGGTTTGGAAAGGGCTAGCATATGATGGTCTGGTCCAATTAGGAGATTTCCAGTCTCTGCAAGACCGTGAGAATACTTGTGCTTTACAAGCATTGTCCCTGTAGACTGAGTAAACAGCACCGCCACCCATGTGAGCTATTAATTGAATATTTGTAGCTGTATATAGCTAATAAAATGTATACTTATCTGAACATATAGCTAAACTCAGAGATATTTGTCATTGTTTTTCTTAATCAAAAAACATTGAAACAACCACTATCACACAGTGATAATGACCATCTCATAGTCTCATCTCAACAGGCCTCTAGAATGATCCCTATTTTGTGGAAGCCTAGAATATCTTTGAGGTTTTGAAAGGATCCCCTGATTGAGATTAAGAAACCTGCTTCAAGCATTCTGTGAGTTGTCTCTTCACTGTACTTGTGATTTCTTTTGCTGTGCAGAAGCTTTTTAATTTAATGTGATCCTGTTGTTGATTCTTTGAAATATTTCCTCTGTGCTCTGGGTTTGTTCATAAAGTCTTTGCCTATATCTGTGTCTTCTAGAGTTTTACCTAATCTATCTTCCAGTGAGCTAAGTATTTTTGTTTTTGTATTTACATCACTGATTCATTTCAATTTTAGTTTGGTGCATGGTCAGAGATACTGGTCTGGGTTCAATTTTCAACATGTGGAAAGCTATTTTCCCCAGCACCATTTATTAAAGAGCCTATCTTCTTCCTGTGAGAGTGTTTGGCCTCTTTATCAAAGACAAGGTAGCTGAACGTGCTTGGAGTTGTTTCTGCATCTTCTGATATGCTCCACTGATCCTCAAGTGTGTTTTTCTTCCACTGTTTTTATCATGGTATTTTTTTCATATACTTCAGACTGGGGATTGGGATACCCCCTGCCTTACCCATGCTGCCCAGAGTTTCAGAGTTGCTTTCTTTCTTTTTTCTTGCTTGCTTGCTTTCTTCTCTCTCTCTCTCTCTCTCTCTCTCTCCCTCCCTCTCTCCCTCTCGCTCTCTCTCTGTTTTTGTACCAGGAATTGAACTCACAACCTTGCACTTGCCAGGCAAGTATTATGCTACTGAGTTATGTCCTCAATCCCAGAATTGTTTTTGCTATTCCAATTCCCTTCTAGTTCCATATGAATTTTAAGATTGTTATCTCTAATTCTGCGATGTGTGCTACTAGTACTTTAATTGGCATTGCATTAAATCTGTGTAACAGTTTAGGAAGCATGGCCATTTGCACTATATTGGTTCTGCCTATCCAAGAACAGAGGATATCTTTCCATTTTCTGATATCTTCTTTGATCTTCTTTTTCAGAGTCCTGTAGTTTTCAATGTACAGGTCTTTCACTTCTTTTGTTCAATTGATTCCTAAGTATTTCATTTTTCTTGATTACATTGTGAAAGGTATTGTTTACTTAATTTCTCTCTCATTGAGTTTGCTTTTGTGTACAGCAATGCTATTGATTTCTAGTGTTAACTTTTTTGTCCTGATATGCTGTTCAATTTGGTTACTAATTCTAGAGTCTTTTGGTGGAGCTTTGAGGTCTTTTATGTAGAATATCATATTATTTACAAATAATGATAATTTAACTTCTTTCCTCTCTATCCATAGTTCTTTTATTCTTTTTTTCTTATGTGATTGCTCCGGCTGATGCTTCCCAGAATATACTGAACCAGAGTAGTGATAGTGGGTATCTTTGTAGGATTCCTGATTTTAGAGTGAAAACTTTCAGTTTTGATCATTTAATGTGATGCTAGTTGGTTTGTTTTTCAAAGAGAGCTATTCTGTAGGGTTTTATCATGAATGGGTGTTGAACTTTGTCAAACGCTGTTTCTGTGTCTATTGAGATGATCTGTAGTTTTTAATCCTTAGTTCTCTTAATGTGATGTATTACATTTATTGATTTGTGTATGTTGAACCACTTCTATATTTCTGGGATGAATCCTGTTTGGCCATGGCATATAATTTTCTGGATAATTCACTACATTCTGTTTGCCAGCATTTACTGAGGATTTTTGCATCTGTGTTCATTAAGGAGATTGGCCTGTAGCTTTCTTTTTTGGTTGGATCCTTCCCTGGTTTTGGTGTTAGAGTAATGTTTGCTTCCAAGAATAATTTCAGGGGTATCACTTCCCTTTAAAAATAGGGACCTCCAAATTTAAAGATCCACCCAAAAACAAGTATCTGAAATGAATAGAAATTTACCAGATGAAGTGCAAACAGCATGTAAATATATTTTTTAAATGCTCAGCATCACTAGTTATGTAAGAAATGCAAAAAACACTGAGATTCCATCTCACTTCAGAAAGATGGCTACTATCAAGAAATCAGTCAATAATAAATTCTGGCAAAGCTCTGAGGAAGAAAGAATCCTTCTCCATTGCTGATAAGAATGTAAACTGGTACAACCACAATAAAAATCAGAATGGAGATTTACCAAAAACTAAAACTAAAAGTTTCATTTGACCCATCTGGTCTCCTACATATCTTCCCAAAAGAGTTAAAAACATAATACCACAGTGATATATGTCCATGTTTATAGCAACACAATTTATATAACTGATTGTTAGGGAAAGCCCCTTTGCCCATCAAAAGATGAATAGAATACACAAAAAAACTGAGGTATTTATGCATAATGGAGTACTATTCTGCCATAAAGAAGGATACATTTCAGTCATCTGTAGGACAATGGATGCACCCCAAGATCATAATCTTAGGGGAAAGAAATTGGACACAAAAGTTTAGGTATCACATTGTTTCTGTTGTGTGAGAAACTCAAAGGGTCAATAAGAAGCATAATGGAGGAAAGATATTGAGAAGTAGAAAGAACATGTTCAAATGGGAAGGGAAAAAATGGAGGGGGAGAGAGGAGAGAAGGAAGATAAAAGAGACTGGAGAGAAGAAAATGGAAACAAAGCTTTTGTAAAATGTTGGAGGGGAAAGGAGTGGGGAAAAAGACAAATTAAGACATTATATACAAGTACAAATTCCCTATGATGAATGTGCTCAATATGTATGACAAATATGTGATAAAAAATAAAGTTTTTTAAAAAGGAAAGAAAGATGCCTCTAAAGAGGAAAGCCCAGGTCAGTGCTACAGAGAACTCCAGATCTGCTTCCAGTAGAGAGGTGCTGCCAGGGGACAGAGGAAATGCAGACAGACTGACCTGCAGGAGGACTTGGAACCATTGTGTAGTGTTATGTTTATGAAATATCCTATGGTTTTCTGATTTTTCAACTAGTATTTTATCCTATACTCATTTATGTGTCGCACGGGCTCAATCTGAGTGCAGATGACTGGCTCAGGGGAAATGGAGGCACCCACTTACGGCCCTGGCTCTCAGGGAGGATGCGCCTGTGTGATGTCCCCCTCAGGTTCCTTGGGTGTTGGGCCACTGTCCCAGATTCCCATTTGGGCAGCCCTGATCCACCTCCAACCTGCCATCTGGGGTCTCACGCACCATGTCCACCTTTCCTGCAGGTTTTGGTGTCTTGCTATCTAACAACTTAATTTCCTAGAGCTAGCATAAGCCATGCTGAAAAATATTTACTGAATAAGCAAATCAGTGAATGGGGGGTTCCATTAATAATTAGGTGTGTCTTCAACTTTATAGAGACCAAAACACTTGAAGGAGATTTTAAGAGTGAGAATCATTATTTATTAAATATCCTATTTAGTTTTTTGCCCTTGCATGGATTTCTGAAGGGTCAGAGTGTTAAATGAAAAATCTATTCCTGCTTTATTATAGAAACAACTATGTGCTCCTTACAAAAATGAAATAAAAGGGATAAGGTCACCATAACCCTCCGCTTCCCCTTCCAGACTCCCCTGAGTGTATTCCGTGTGCCTCTACCCTCAATCCCTGGCCCCTCTTCTGCCTGTTCCGGCCTCCTCTGTTCTCAGGTGGTGACCCCTTTATGGCATGATCCAGCTCCATTGCCACCAGCTTCCTGTTGTGTTTGGCAGCAGGAAGTGCAGCAGGCTCACAGCCTGGGCAGGACAAGACCAGAACATGCCTCCCTGGGTCGGTGCCTCTGCCATCTGGCTTCAGGCCCCAGGGCTGTCCTCTCCTGGGGGATCAAGTCTTAACCTCGAAATGCCGTTTTCTCCTGTTTTTCTATGCACACAGGAGCTCACACACTTCCCACCTGGCTAGGCTGGTGTCACCATCCCTCCCACAGCCTTTGAGTGCCCCCTTTGCTGAAGCTCCGTAAGTGGATCACTCTGATGAACTGTGCTTTCCGCCAGGGCCTCGGTTGGAACAAGGCAGCTGGGTAGTTACACGAATGAAATCATCCTGGGAATTCTATTCTAAAACCTGCTTTTAAAGGTCACCAGTACTCCATTATAGCACCTTTCAATACCAGGAAATATAATTTTATGTCCTCATTTTTCTTTGATATGATTTTCAATAGGATTTAATTAAACCCCACAGATACTGATTGAGCACCTGGCAGGTACAGGACATATTCCTGCCCTTTTGTGGGGTGCCGTGTCATGGAGGCTTTAAGGCAAATGTGGAGATACCTGAAAGGAAAATAAGAGGTATCGTAAAGGAGTTACTGGCTAAGGGCCAAAGGATTCAAAGAACAGAGAGCGTCAGGAATGGCTTCTTGGAGAAAGTGGTATACAGAGTCTACTGCATACCAGGGCGGTGGAGGAGACAGGCCAAAAGGAACACGTAGTCTGGAAGGTATCACAGGTTGAACAAGCAATAGCCCATGCCCAGAGCTGAACCCCTATGGTTTTCTGAGGCATGGGGCACCTGTTTAAGCTAGACAGAATGGAATGCTCCTCCACTGTACATTATTCCTCCTCTTTATAGCAGCTGTCTGTGTTGAAGATCACAAGCAGGAGTCCCTGATTACTTACACCATGGAAAGGGTCTCCAATATTTCTGGAATTTGTGTTTTTCTCTTTCCCCTCTTTATTACAATTTCCAAGGGCCAGGAACTACCCCTGCACATTTGGTCACCCATCTTCCAAAGCTACATGCAGGAGAGTGCCAACTGCACATGTGTGGAGTGAATCTGAATGGGCAGCCCACGGTGGGAACAGGAGCTGTGTCGGGGGGAGGGGGAAAGTATCCATGACAGGCTCTGTGGGCCCAGCTCCCTCTTTTAGGCTTACATGGAATCATCCGTATGAAAATGATGGCGGGGGAAGGGTCCTTACTTCTCGAGAGAATGA